TTTTGGTGTTACATTACTGACTTAAAAACAAACAAACAAACCCCCAAACCACCTAAAACCAGTGCTTTTCATTTTTCAGGAGCTTGKTTATAGAAGACAGCAGTGATGATAGCAGTTCTGAAGGAAACAATTCCCAAACTGAGAGTTCTCAGCAATGTAAAGAGCAGTTGTGAGTATAAGAAGGGGTTACAACTGCAGAAATAGTTTTCTTAAGGTTAATTGTATTTCAGGCAAGGCAATAGGGTTCATAGAACAGATGGCACAGGAAGGATTGCTCAGAGAAAGTTTAAACTTAGTAAAATCTCAAAAATCAGATTAAGAAGACAGATGTGATTCTGGATTGGAATGCTACCATTTAGGGTTTTTTGGTCTTTTTTTTCACTTTCCGAAATTATAACCTTGAAGATGCTGGAGTTTTTTATACAGCTTACAATAAATTTAGTACTGGAAAACTGGGAGGGAGTTGCACTTAAACAGCTCTTTTCACGGTAACTAGTAGTTTTGGTTTGCTCTCATTTGAAAAACAAGTAGGATGTTATTGCTTAAAAGAAGACAAAGGACTATGTAAGAAAACAGATCTACGAGACTTGCTTGAGCATACATGTACATCAGCCTTGATTTCTGTGTGGAATTTAYCCCTGCCATTTGCTGGTTTGATTTGCTCTTTTCCCACTAACCTCCTTTCCCCACTTTGCTTTGGGATTCTTGAAGCAGAGCTGAAGGGTTGCATTATTTAACATCTATGAGTGGCCCATTCCTACCTGCACTTCTAGACAGGGAGACAAAGGCGTTTTACTCATCCAGAAAGGATGTCTTTGCTCATGGTTTATCTTCTGGAAATGACAGTTATCCTAAGTGGTTTTTGCTTTGGAYTTGAATCTTTCCTGTAAGAATATAAAGGCAGGACACACACTAGTGGTGTAGGGAAGTGACTCTGGCTCTGTACCTGTGTCCACCACCACTGTCAGCCATCAGGGAAGCACATGCCAGAGAGCARAGGTCAGAAGGAGACACATTCATACCACACCAGTCAGGAGCAGGTAACTCAGACAGGGCTATTGCTCAGTCGTATCCTGTCCTGATTGTGGCTGGCTTGTCTGGGGAAGTGAGAAAGACAAAAGCTGCCCTGGCTGAGTTCATCATCCTGGGGTCTGTCACCTCAGCCATCTCTGCTTTGCTCTTAAATGAGGAAACGTCAGCACTCTTCACCTTTATGTCTGGTTCCTTCCTCCAGGACCTCACTAGCGGCACAGAACAGAGCTCTTCCACAACTTAGCAAATACTCCTGCTGTTCTTACAATAGTGTGAGAATGAAGCAGGCTTCCCTTTAGCAGTTCATGTTCTCAGAGTTCATCTTTTGCAGTGATTTCAGTTCCCTGCCTCCATCTGCAGATGTCCTGCTTCTCTGAGTCCGTGTGTCTTTAATTCTTTGTGAGCTCCTTACTGTGGTAGACTGCAAAACTCAAGAATAGTGTATCTGCTTTRTACCCACTGTTTACTGAGACTACCAACTAAAACGTTTGCCAGATATTTTAAATTCTCTATTTTCTAAGTTTAAATTTTCTAAAAAGCTTCTAGTTTATTTCATCCAGTATACCTAGTCTTTCAATCTAAGACCTCCCTCTTAATTTGAGATCAGACTGATCTTGGGTCACTTGTCCTTGCTTGGCTCTCTTATTTCCTTTCATCAGTCCTCCTGACTCTCAAGGACTGCCTGAATGTATCCTAGCAAACCTGGAACTTACGGGTTTTTATACAGTAAGTTTTTTTTAATATGCTTACTCTCTTTTTATAGGTTCTTCTCATCAGGTCACTGTTTGAGAGGATGTTTTCTTCAACAAGTTCTTTCCAGTTTTAAGCTTTTAATCATTCAGTTGCTGTGGAAATTACAGTGATAATGCAGGTTTAGCATTCATGACTTCACTGCTGCATTAGATAAGAAAAAGGAGCTGTCGTGTGGGAGAAAGCCCTGAATTAAGCAAGTTGTGTATGTTTCACATGTTTGTCAGAGAAGATAACACATGAAAAGGAGTCAGAATTGTTCAGGCTGCTAGGCTTTTCTCTATCTGCTCAGGAAAAAAAACCATATTAAATATCAAAAAGGAGGAGACAACAAGCCCCATGTCTGATCTAGGGACTGTGTGGTTTGGAACAGCAGTTCCAGTCTGCTGCCTTTCAGGATTTCAGTCTTCCTTCTTGGGTGATTGCCTTTGTCATTTCTGTTGAGGAACAGGATTTTGGAAACCCCTAAACTTATCAGAGAGAAGGATGCAGACATAGCTATGGAGTGAAAGATAAATTTCCTACTTGGAGATACCCATGGCTAGCTCTCTGATTTGGGAAAAGAAAGATGGATTTGTGTATACAAGAAAATTTTATCAGTTTTTTCTTTTGATCAATTTTAGTAGTAGTCTCTGTTCTAGAATTTTGGATGTATATAAGAAATTAAATTGATTTGATACTTCTGTTGTTTTCTTATACTCTTCCTTTATTAGTATTTAATATTCCAGAGCTTCTTGGTTCCTTCTTATATGTAGTTGTTTTAGAAAAGGCTAAACTTCCATGCTGCTGAAGTTGCTAACAGCAGTGTTCAGCTTGTCCTGTTCTCTTGCTTTTTCTTTAATGCATCACCCATTACTCTTAACCTCATCTGTTCTTGCATTCTTTGCTAGGCAATTCAAAGGGGAAAATACTAAGAGCACAGCTGCCTTTGGATCTAAGCATATTGTCCCTTTGAAAATTAAAACTTAATTAAAACACTGCTTTTTGTCCTCATGTTTGTAAATAMTTGAATATATATTTTTTTCCTTCATTGATTAATGTGACTGCCTTTTACATACACATGATTTCACAAATTGCTTGGTGGACAAGGCAGGGTTGCTAAGGAGGCATTCTGTACTGGGCACCAGAGTATTTGGACCCTAATTTTCAATGTACATTTCTTCTTTTGACTACTAAATGCGAAACTGGGAAAAAGTCCAAAATCTTTAATAGCTAGAATGTATTTCATGCTGATCCCATCTAAATTGGCAACCTCTGTTGCCAAGTTCTAAAGCGAGGGCTGCGATGATGATGAATTTCTCTAATGGAGTTTTTGTACAAGGCTGCAGGATATTGGCATTTTCAATACTGTAGGATTCACAGAGAAGGTCCCTGCTTATAAAAGGGCCCAAGATATTGATCTTTCTGACTGAAATGCCCTTAGGACAGATGTGCTGACATTTTTCTATTAGGTCCCGACATCCTTTTAAAATTTTTGGTTGTTGCAGTGTCTTTCTCTGCATACTCAGTTGTGTCATTTCAATATTGAAACTCACAACTAAGATTTTGTTAAGTTCTTTGTTTTCATCTTGATGTTATGTCTTGCTGGCTCAGGACTTACACCAAAGTAAGTTTTTATAATCACAAGGCATTAGTAATAGAACAGAACTGTACCACTGGTACTGTTCTGTAGAAATCAGTATATTGTTTTTGAATATTTATGAATAGGAGATCTTGCTATCTTTTGTGGGTGTCGCATGCAGAAATGAGTTGCACATGGAATGCACATGAGCATTTTGCTTGTGAAAGGCTGAAGTCTCCTGACGCTAGAAGTGAGTTTGCAAAATATCATCTACAACCTTAGGCAGTGGAGTAAGCTGAGGTAGGGAACTTCATGCAAGAAACAACAGAATTTCCAGAAATTAGGATGGGAATGAGGGAAAGGGGAGAGTGGGAGAGAAAAGAGGGGGGGAGATATTCATTTAGGAGAAAGGGGTGACTGGAAGAGAAAAGAACCCAAGGAGTGTCTTGGTGGAAGTAGTAGATCATTGCTGGGTCTTTTCAACACAGCATTGCATTTAAGTCACAGTTATTGCAGAAAGGCAACAGCTGCTACTTTAGAACGTGAGGCAATGGAACTATTGTAGACACAGAAAAATAATCGTAGATACAGAAGAATGCCTTCCAGAGGGACTGTCTTGCACAAGCCACTCCACTYTATGTAACAAAAGCCTGGTGACACAATGCATGGTTTAGTCATAGGAGTGCCCAGAGTGGACAAATATTGTACATCTGGAAACATTTTAACTAGTAATTAGTTTCTGGAAAAATGGCAAATTACTCAAGAAAAATGTAGTCCATTGTGCTGGCTTCTGACTGCTTATCTGCAAGATGTATTATTCTCCCGACTGCCTTAACCACCACTTCTGTGCTTCTCACCAGTACTATGTGGGGACAGGTGATACAGTGGTGCCAAGGCTACTGCTGTCAGTGCTAGCACTCTGCATCCCACCTCAAAGCACAGGACATGGACATGATCCTGTGGGAATTCACCACCTTAGACATCACCAGGGAAGTCCTGTGTCAGCTGGGACAGTCGCTCCGCCAGAGCTGAAAATCACCAGCTGCAACGCAGCCTACTCCATTGCTCACTTTCTCCCTGGGCTTCCGTCAGACCAGATTTCCTCCATTCCATTGCTACACAGAATTGCTGTGGGAAGGGGTGAGGCAGCATATCCCCCTTGCAGCCTTTCCCTCTTTCTGCTGCTGTTGGAGAAGGCTGGCTGGAGCAGAGGCACAGCAAAGCAGGGACCTTACAGAGAGCTGCCACGCCCTGCTGTCCRTGACTAACACCTGACACTTGATAGCACACATTTAAAACTGTCACAGTACAGCAGCACTGTGTGATTGACGTGTTGTCCATCAAAGGGCGTATTGCCTGCTCTGGTGATGTGCTGCCCAGCTGCATGTGGGTCACCGGTGGAAGATAAATGCCTCCACAGCTGAAGTGGCAATTCTCTGTCAGGCAATGATTCAGGTGTGGCTTGTGGCAGAATGCACAGTGTCTCTAAGGAGTGACTGCCTCAGATGGAGAACTGCAGGCCAGTATAGGAAGTCCTGTGTGGCATTAGAATGTCAGAGCCTGTTGTCTTTTCAGTCATTGGTGTCAGCATGTTCTAACTGCTGCCTCCCATAGAAGCTTTTCAGACAATAATTACTGTGGTTGTTTGTCATTACAGAAGTAACGCTGAAGGTCCATGTAAGCGATGCCAGCACTCATCAGCCAGTAACTGAAGCCTTCATTGAGATTTTTACCAACCAGATCTCCATTGCATCTGGAACCTCAGGAGCAGATGGCACTGCCTTCCTCAAGTTTCAGTATAAGTTGGGCAATCAGCTGATAGTGACTGCTAGTAAACATGCATATGTGCCAAATTCTGCACCATGGAAACCTGTAAGATTGCCTGGTAAGAGATCTTTATTTTTGTTCTGAGGTAAGATTTTGCATCTAAAGGAAGCTACACAGTTTTGTATGATGTGTTTCAATGCTTGCCATCCTGGGTGGGAGGAGAAACATCTGCACATTTCAAAAATAGTAACAATTCTTCCTCGGTTAAACTGCAGCATCAGGCTGAACAGAGATTCACTCTTCTTCTGGTGATCCTCGATACAGTGCTGCATCAGTTTTGAAACAACTGTTTGTKCTCTTACAGCTCCATAGAAAATAGAAATCTATTCCAGATCTTTCTCTTTATAGGAACTCTGTTTCCAAGAGCCTCATTTCAGCAGTTGTGACGTACTCTTGTTTCTCTTACAAGGTGTAACAACAACTCTTGTGCTATAGGCTGTAGTTTACAAAAAAGTCCTGGTCTTGCAGTTCCTAGCCTTGTCCATAGAACATGTTATGTTTTCCAGATGTTAGGGTTTTTACTAAATTAATTTGCATGGTTTTGCTTCTTCCACAGGCAAATATAACAATAGTACTTGCATGTTAGTTTTTATCAGAATGTCTCAGAACTTTAGTTATAAGAGAGGAAAAATTGAGTCATGTAGCCATTTCTGTACTGCTAAAAAGAACAGATTGAGGGTGGCTTTCAAACCTTGAGATGTAGCATCTATATGAAGATCACATCCGTAGTTTCATCTGCCTTCTCTGTAATCTGCAGCCACAATCAGAGCCCACATAATTTGGGAATGGTCACAGGCTTGGTTTATATGACGCCTCAGGTTTGATAATTAGCCTGGGCCAAAGTCATGCCAGGTTTTAAGTGCACTAATATTTAAATAGTATACATGTTCCCAGGGCAGTGTTGAATTCCATGCCTTGGCTCCATTTTATTTATTAATATCAACATAGCCAGGAGGACTGCGTGACTTGCTGCAAGGTCAAGWAGCAAATAAATTTTTAGAAGGGGAAAGGAACGTGAATCTCTTCAAACTCAGAATTATGCTTTAGGCATTTCAACATTCTGTTTACTTATCTGCATTCACTTGCTTCAGATAAGATAAGACTGACTTCTTCCACATTTTCTGTACTGTRATCTGCCATGTTTTTCAGCTGCTTAATGGAGCTACAGCAAAGACTAAGTCAAGCTCTTTGGGGTGTAGTGAAAGAATAAGAAGCAGCTATAAAGAATTGCCGCCAGCAGAGTTTCAAATAAGTAAAAAGCAACAATTCATTACAGCAGCAGCAAAGATTGGAGTAGGTTACCCAGAAAGGTTGTGAAATGTCTAAAGACATTGAAAATTGAACTGGACACGCCATGCTTGGTGGAAGAAGGGGATGTCCAGAGATCCCTTCYAGCCATAATTGTTCTGTGATTGTCTTTCAAAATTTCCTTTGGGTTTTCTTCTCTTTAAAGCAGATGAAGTGCAGCTTCCTCAGCATACTTTCATGTGCTTTTAAATGATTAAAGTATGCAATAACTTTGCCTTGCGTCTCTTATCTTTCTGTCTCATACCCTAGGTCTTTTGAATGAGATGTACTCTTCCATAGTCCGGAGTTTACTTGGTTAGGTTTTTGCTTGTTGCTTTTCTTAGATACTGATTTTGAGGGAAGGGAAAGAAACAGGGCATTTTTGTTCAGTAAGTCATTGAAGTTTAAAGAGCAGTAATTGTATAGGTTCCAGAAAATCTTTCTTTCCATGGCTGAAATGTGAGCTTAGCTCAGAAAGTAGATTCGTTTCACCTCTGATCCTCCCCCACTGAAACGCATAGATAGTTTGTCATTGATTTAATTGGATGTAGAATCCTTTCTTTTGCTTTCTGTACCTTGAGCTTACTCYTTTCTTTGATTAAAGAAACAAGTTACAACTGGATATGCCTTATATAGATTTAATAGGGTTGTTCTTTGAATTAGTCCAGAAAAGGTACATGACATAAAAGTTAAGGACCAATATACTTAGTTTTATTTTTTGTAGTGATGAAGATACCTATAGTCTTTAAAAAACATCTGTGTTTAAATGTCCTGTATTTAAATGCCTATCATGCTTTTAACCAGTACAGTATAGAACTTTGGAAAAATGGGCAAGTTGTTCTCTTATTATTTTTAAGCTGGTTTGAAGGATGGGCAGCAGGCAGCATATCTGAATCTTCATTCTGCAATGTGGAGTCTGGGCACAACCATGCAGCTGGGTCCTCTTTTCCCAGAAATACCTTTTMACAGTCTCAGGAGCTGTCACCCACAGAGCAGATCCCCCACTGAGCAGCATTCCAGCCAGGGCAGTGTTTTAAGCTGATGTGCCATCCTGTGGTATGTTAAATGCACTATGGCCATATTTACCTCAAATGAGAAAATGATAACCACGGGCAGGGAGCAGATTTGAAAGCTATAGAGTGGTAATGTTTAAAGTGCTGTAGCAGAACTTTGCCAAAGATCTGGATTGTTCCTTCACAGGCAATATGCATTAGTTACAGCCTTATGCTGAAAAGCTGTGCAGCCACTGAACTTATGATATTGTTGTAGTACCTTCAAGGAGTGARTATCAAAGGTTTTCTGTTCTTACAATTTGGCAGAAATAACTTTTCTTATATTAACCAAAATAATTACTAGCTCTTTATCGCTTTAGCAGGAGGATTATTTATTTACATAGTGATAAATGGTAGGAGGAAAAGATTTAAGATCTCTTTTTTCCATTAAAATATTTATCAGCAGAGCCATGACTCCACTTATTAACAGTTCATTAATTTAACATCACTTGAGTTGTTGAAGTGTTTATGATGGAAGATGTGTTTGTCTGTCTCCTCTTAACTACGCATAGATTTTTCTTTGTAAGTAATTTGGAAGAAAACATTTGTGACTGGTAATCCTTATTTGAAAGGATGCAATGAAGAGATGGAGTTGCTGAGACAGCACAGTTAAACTTAGCTGATGGGGTCAGTGTCATGGTTTTACTCCAGTCATTAACTAAGTATCACCCATCTGYTTGCTCCCTCCCAGCCTTGGTGTGATGGGGAAGAGAATCATAAAAAGGTAAAAAACATGGGTTGAGATAAAAACAGTTAAGTAATTGAAATAAAGTAAAATTTTATAATAGTAAAACCCAGGTAAAGCAAGTRATGCACAATACAATTGCCCAGCCTGTCCCTGAGCAGCAGTTGACCCCTCCCAGACAGCTCCTCCCCAGTTTAAATGCTGGCCATGRCATTCTGTAGTATGGAATATCCCTTTGGCCAGTCTTAGTCAGCTGTCCTGGCTGTGCTCCCTCCCAGCTTCTTCTGCAGCTTCTCACTGACAAAGCATAGAAAACTGCAAAGCCSTTAACTTAGGATAAGTACTACTCAGCAGCACCCAAACCATCAGTGTGTAATTGGCATTGTCATCCCAAACCAAAAATGCTGAACTGTACCAGCAACAGAGAACAAAATATCTGTATCCTGGCTGAAACCAGGACAGTCAGTCAAAGCAAACCATGGCATTCACTGTGGTGAAGTAGAGTTTTAGGAACAGAGAATGATGCTTATGGTATTTCTGGGAGAGAAGAGCTCATCTGGAATAGTTTACCTGTAAAATAAGGTAAAATGCAGAAGGCAGAGTATAGTATTTCAGGTCTTGTCCTTGGTATAGCCATTCAGGGAAATGTATGTCTAGCTCTGAATCCACGTTTCAAGAAGAATGTTTCAAACTGCAGAGTTATATCAGGGATGATTAAGAGATTGGAAAATATGGTTTGCATGGAAAGACTTGGAAGTGCTTAATTTATTTTGTTCACTAGCGCRAAAGTTCATGGGGTAATTTGATCACAGTCTATCAATACCCTCATAGAGAACAGGAAACGAGTAAGAGAGAATTTTTCTGTCTAGCAGGCTTGTATAAAAAGAAGATCAAGTGGCTGGRAATCTAACCTCCATAAATTTTGATGGGTAAAGAGGCACATAGTTTAAGTGCCCTCGTAATTATTTATTGGAGCATTGATGTTGCGGTGTGTTCTTCACCACTGGACACCTGTAAAAGAAAATTAGAGTTTTTCTATACCATGTTTTCAGGTTTCAGTACAGAAATTGAATCTGCAGCAATAATTAATTCAGGGAAGGCTGTAGTTACACAGGAATAAGGCTGGATCATCRCTGTCATCCTTCTGGCCTTAAAAGCTGTGTCTTTCTGTCTTTGTCATGCTGAGAAAAGATTGTGCAGAAAAGCCCAAGGGAAGTTTAGAGGTTATATATTCATTATAGTCTGGCATATATGGAAGAAGACGTTGGCATGGTTGATTGTATTGAGCTCCCCAGGGTGTCTAAATTATATTAGCTTTCTTCATAGAAATTAAGTTATTGGAATAAAGACAAATTTTGTAATTGTGTGGCCTTAGTGCTACTTGCACTCAGCTTTCTTACTTATGTGTAGATCTGTTTCACATGTAGGGCACGGGAAAGAAAATTCCCAGCTGTACTTGAAATAAAATGGTATTTAATTTTTATTTATTKTAATATTTATATATATTGTTAAAACCATTTTTAGATGGTGGTTGTTATCAGCGTGTTTCTTCTAGTTTTTTCTTTGTCCTGCACTTCTCCCAACTAAAATTTCTGMTCTTTAAAAGGAGAATATATTTTTTAAAGCAGAATAGTGTAGTCTCCCTATTGGTAGCTAACATCTGTATGGTTTCTTGGGTTAAGTAATGTTTATTAATTTAGAGGAAATTTTAAAAACACCAGAAAATCAGAAGAGTTTGTGTTGTTCTGTTGACTGGTTCTGGGAATGCCTTCCTTAGCTTGCATTTACTTCAGACTGGGATGAGGAATCTCCAGGTATGGGATGCTGCCCCGTTACCAAAAATTAGTAGTCTGCATTAGTCTCCTTCTACCTTTGAAAGCCATGTGTGGACTGCAGGCAGTCATGCTCCTTACTGTTTTCATGGAGGCAGGAGGCAGGTGGGCTCTGTAGCTAATTCCTTCCATATTTCAGGTCTTGTGGGTCTGAAGAACTTGGCATGAAATTCTGTCCTGTTTTTCACTGTGCAAAGATGTGTGTGCCTACAGACACAGCCCCCTGCAAGGAGTGTCAGTACCCAGTGGGAAGGGAGATCCTTGCAGGCAGCCTTCTTGCAGCAAATACCATTTATCTGTCCCTTTTCATACCACTGGTAGGATGACAGTAGTTCTGCTATAAATAGCCCTTCCCTAGTGTAGGAGGTGACTCAGTAAGTACATGCTGCATTTTAAAGCAAATTATTCAGACTTGCTCATCATACTTTGCCTTTCTGTATGACTTACGTAAGTATCTCAAAGTACTTAAGTTTCATTAAAATCTTCCTGAGGTAAGAAGTATAGCTTTTGCACAGAAAAATAAATCAGCCAGACTGAGTTAGTGTTTCACTCCTCTGTGTCTTTCTGTGGAGCTGGAAAATGCTCCATGTAAAGCTTGGAACCCTGCACTCTTCAGTGCTTTGAGCTACCATGCATGACGTGCAGGAGTCAAAGCATAGAACATTTTGTTTAGTTCAGTAATTAGTCTGGCAATTTAGCTGTTTGGTTCAGAAAATGCATGTGGTTTTTGTCATGTATACAAAATTATTTTAATCGTTTGGGTGGCCTGCTTTTGCAAAAATGTGAAAAAAGTAAGCACTGTTGTTGTTGGATTATGTTTATAAGAATTTTAATACATCCCACTTAAACCACTTCTCTCCCACAGTGTTCTCTTCACTGAGCCTCGGCCTTCTTCCTGAACGCTCAGCTACTCTGATGGTCTACGATGATGTAGTCCAGATAGTCTCAGGATTTCAAGGTATGCTGGCTTTTGGAAGTCAGAATTGAAATTTGAGGGACACTAAGCAAAAAGCCTGACAGCCCAATGCTTTCTGAGCTCTGTCCTGTGAGTGAGACTGGTATTCTGTGGGGAGTTCTGAGCTCCCTGAGGAATGCTTCTCTGTGGGATTGTTTTACCAAATTAATAGCTGAGTTCATCCCTAACTGCTCTGACTAGGGAATTCAAGTTACACGGTAATAAATGAGTTTGGACTTCAGTGTGCCATTTGAGAGCTAGAGATTAAATTTCTTACACTATCTGTTGGATGTTTTTTTATCTAGCCTTATTTAACCATCCTTGAAGTAGACATTTTCTGGTGTTCTTAATGTTTAAGGATTTCTTATGGTTTTATTTTGTTTCTTGCTTCCTCGTGTGAATGACTTAAAAATTTAGGGCATAAAAAACCTATAAACCCATAAAATTTCTTGTATATGCATTGTTGTACACCCTGTATAAACTTACTTTTCCTGTAGACCCCTGGTCAGACTGCCTGCAAACCCAAATCCTGCAGKTTGAAATCCAGTATATTAGAAAAATAAAGTTTGAAAAACCTTTTTGTAAGGCCGAACACAGATGTTAAAGCAACGGTAGTATCAGTCAGGAACAGTCATTTCTGAACTGCAGTGAAGGATAAAATGTTCATCTGACTTARGGGTCTGACGTAAATTAATCCAATTGATGTGCTGGCTGAGGTAAGTGTGTTAGCAAAAGAACAGGARCTTTTAAATATACCTTGAACCAGAACAAGGGAATATCCTTCCTGTGGGCACTCTTATTGTGCATAGTGTCTTATTCACAAAAAGTCTTATGCTTGCCATCATTTTAAACTCTACTGGTAGTTAATAAACAAGGGAATAGTGCCCTCAATAGTATTCTGAGATAACCTTGTTCTGTCTGAGAGAATATAATACAATTATGCCTTCCTGACATATTTTTTTAGTTAGAAGCCATCCAGACACAATAGGCTTTTCATTAAGGATAGCACTAGATACGACTGGAGCTGAAAATGTATTAAACAAATTAGGTAGCTGGTGGAATGCTCAGAAGGAGCTGAAGAAGCAGCTGCTGTACATATATTTTACAATTTGAGAGGTGGACATTATCTAATGKGGTAAATTAGATGGACAGTGAACTGTGTTAATGCACAAGGGATTGCATTAGGCAAAATATGAAACATTGTTTACCAACAGTATTCCACTACCATGCTGTATTAAATACTCTTGTTCTTATGCAAATGTGCTAATATYATGCAATTAACTGAAAAAGAACAGTATTTTTGTGTTCACAGTGTCCTTAAAAAAATGGGATATTAAAGGACTAGAGGGACATTTAACAGCTGAGTGAGACTCATCAATATTTTCAACATAATCTTCCTTACTTCAGTGAATTGATCCAGTGTGTTCACAATATATGTAAATTAGAATAACATAACTGGTTCTACTGGAATAGCAGAAATAAAGGATAAACAAAGAAAGTAGTACCTGGAGTATTTTAAGGATTGGGATTTGAACTCAGAGTCTTGCCCAGTAAAATATGTTTTTTTGGTCCAGTCCGTGTTTCTTTTCTTGGGAATTCTCTTGTGATGAAGCCTAAATGAAAGACAGCCTAGACATTGTTCCAGTATTTGAATGGAGCCTCTCTAGTCTCCATCCAAAATCCTTGTGACCTAGTTTTTCTCTGTTATTTCTCCAATTTACTTCCCAGTAGCCTCATGCTGTTTCAAAAGAGCTGATCAGGAGTTACCTTAGTACAAAAATGAGAGCAAACCAGAACTCATTATACCAGGAACGGGCTGGGAACACTGGTGTTTGAAGCATAAGTGAAAGGGAAAGAAAGGCCTGTCTTGGTACACTAAGTTACCAATTGCATTTGAATAATTAATCAAGCAAGCAACGTATTATGCAGTTGAGAAGTTTGTCTGAGTTGATGCAGGCAGCTCCATTTTCATGATGGCATTACAATCCACTGCTGTGCTCTGTCAGTAATTGTGAGGGATGGGGCTTGCCAACCACTGGGTCATTTCAGTTATTTAATACCAGCACAGTSACAGGCTGGATTTCAGTGTTCAGTGAATGGAAGCTGTATGGGGACCCTCTATCTGCCTCTGACCTGAGCAATCAGAGCATGAATTAGTGAGGCTTCAAATGTTACTTCACATAGATTAGACCTCAAATGCTGTGGTGCCACATGTCACACATCCAGTGTGACAAGAGGTGCCTTACAGAGACTCCTTTAGGTTCATGTGCAGGTGTGCAATGGCCAGCTGGACTTGACAACATTTGAATCATGGCTGATGTGTGGACGAGAGGCTCTTTAAAGAAGATAAGATCAGATCAGTGCTCAGCCATCTTTACCTCATGGCACACACCATGTGGAAAGAGCTCACATGTCCATTTTAGACTTGAATTTGTTTGGGTTTTGAGAGTAAAAACTGCAACTTATCAGTAAAAACTAGTTATTTCCAGTAATAGAAGCARTATTAAGAATCCACTTCCAGTTATAAGTGATGACTTGTTGAAAAATACTCTTAAGAGTCTGGTCAGCACAAGTTTCTACCCCTTCCAATTCCCTCAATAAGTCAATCCCCAAACACATGCCCCAAAATCAACATTGCCTCTGGTACAGGAGAACACTGGATTATCTTCTAGCAAGGTGATGAAAGAAGGTGAAAGCCTTGGTAGCTGCTTCCCTTACAAGCCTTTCTCTGGAAGCTCCTGGTCTTCTCCCCCTTTGGAGTCTCTTGCCAAGTGGGGGAGACCCAACGGAGGAACTGAYGGGAGAGTCAGGGTGTCAGTTTTCAGGTGAACATCAGTATCAAGGAATTTGTTATTCTAGGGTGTGAATTAACTACTCTGCACTCGTCTGTGTATGCCTATCTACAGAGGAGGCTGTTTCTTCACCCTCACAACTTATATTTGAGTTCATTGCTGTGCAGTTTCCTGCCAGGTTTGGGGCTCAGCCATAAGAAGGCTTTGTGCTGCTTGTAGGATCGAAGGAACTGTGGTTGGCTTTCTGAGTCCTCCTTATCTAGTTAAAATTTGGCAGCTCRTGGCTCTCCCATTGCTAAAATCCARCTATTTTTTAATAGAAAACTTATAAACTGCTGTATTACAGAGTCAACAACAGTTACTCTSTTTCTGATTTTTAATTAGTGTGCATGTTTGGAAATAAAACACCAGTTCTTGGCAACTGGAATAATTGCATCTTAACCAGAGATTTAGACTGCAGAAAATGCTACAATTTTACATTGAACTGTTAGTGATAATCCTAATGTCAGTTTCTTTGATGTGGGTTGGTTTTTTTCCTGTTTTGTTACTGTGGGTATTTATACCGATGGGCTGTAGGAGCCCACTCAGCATTGCAGTCAGAGGTTTCCAAAGTKCCTGAGCAGATCAGTCCCTGAGGTACAGGAAACTGTTACAGTATTGCAGAGCACTCAGGAGATAAGTCTTGCCTGAGTTTGTTGCAGTCAATTTTTTTAAATCTTTTACATAGCTTTCCATTTACGTCTAGAAATTGGATAAGGAAGGTTTCTTCCCATTTCACATGGGTGTTTTTTTTGTTAAACACTTACAGATAACACCAGTCTTGAGAGCCTGCTGTAAACACTTTAATGTTTCAGAAATTAAAAATAAAAGCATTTTTATAGCTTTTTCTTGCAAAATTACCAAAGAAATGACAGCTAAACAATGATCAGCTCTTTGGAGGTACTTACTTCTGTACACAGACATTTTTGTTGGCCAATGCAACGTTTTGTTCTGTTGAGCTTTGTATTTTCTCACATCTAGAGCTCCTGCTGGAAAATTATGCAAGRATAGATTCCAGTCTCTAGGTTAATGACACAGGCAGTTACAAAGCTTAGGAGCAAGTCAAGCTTGTTATTCTTTCTCACAGTGAAGCTACATGTAACCTAAAAATGCTGCCAGAGACTAATGGGGTAAAGATGCAAAATTTTTATGAGTTGACATCTTTGAATCACATAGTCCAGTGTGAATTAAGAGGAAAACTGCTTGCCTCTTGATTTTGTACTGTGTGGGAAGCGTTCTGTATGTATTCAAAATGAGCTCTGGAGAATACAATAGCTTTTGATTTATAAATTAATTTGCATGTTGTGCACACGAACTTGTAGATGGAGTCTTGCTGTGTGTTGCTAAACAGTATTAATGGTGAGTATCCTTTGAAAAAGACTATTGACTTTATAAGCTGGAATTTAAATGAGACAAGAAAACCAGAGTACATGAAACAGTCTTAAATCATGTTGCAGCAGAGACCCTTCAATTAACACCTAGTGAGCCTGAAAGAAACACTAACACTGTACAAGGCGGAGGAAAACAGAGAAATCTTACTTGCCAAGTAATCTGATTCTATTTAGATGTGTTCTTTGCATGGGAAAATATGGCAAATCTTTTCACCCAAGATTTGATAAGTGAATCTTTTCATCCAGTGATTTCAGTAGTGACCAGTCCCAGTTCTGGAGTTAATTTTCATGGCCAGAGCTTTGCAAAATCTAAGTACAGAAGTTACATAAATTAATYGAGACTGCAGGTAGAATTGTCTCTTAGAAAATAAATTTAGAGGGTATAAACTCCATTTATCTTGCTATTTCAGGGAAAACAAAATTGGAACAAATATGGTAAACTGGATGCTTTCSTAAGCTTTTGCATACCCTACCTCTAAACTTAGTTCTGGTTTCAGTTATTAAAAGAGGCATGTAATGAAAGTGGAGGAGAAACAAGGTAGCTAGAAAGCTTTTGACAGTAGGTGCCTCCACAATTTTGATGTGGAATACTTCTGGACAAATAATGACAATTACAAAATAAATGCAATAGTATTGGTTTTCAGTCTTTTATAATAGCATTCTAATGTCTTTGTCCTACTAAAGCTAYTGAAATTTATAATGAAAGAAATGTAAAAGTGCTTCCATGAATATGAACATGTAAATATTCTGTCTGCCTTGGATATAAAATCACTTTTAATATTTTTAGGTGCACGGACTCAGCCACAAGTTCACTTTCAAAGAAGATCTGTGAAATTGCCAGAGAACACTAGCTACAGTGATTTGACAGCATATCTGACTGCAGCCAGTTCACCCTGGGAAGTGGACAGTTTCCCTTATTTGCAGGGATTAGATGGAAATGGAACAGGTAACCCACTACTTTCATTTTGATCTGATTTCATATTGGTTCAGGATTTGACTTTTGATCATATAATTTTTTCCATTCCCAATTCCAGCTAATACTCTTTCCAATTTGGATGTCATAGTATGTTCAACTGTCCTGCCAATATGCTGTTCCAGTGAGTAAGAGGGCAAGGTTTGCTCTCCCTTAAATGGGGCCGCTGAATAGCAAAGATGAAAACTCTTGGCCTTGAGAGATCAGACAAGTTGGTTGCACTTTAGCTCAGAGCTGAGTCCCCAAATGTGCTGCACGTGCACGTAGAAGATGGAGATTAATGTGAAGGAACAAGAGAGAATTTAACTTTAGGATGCCATAAAATTGTTGTTCATCTTTTTTTTTCTAAAATTAAATACCTGTRTACCAAGGATTTAATACTGTTTTGTTTCAATGGCTTTGTTGATACTTTTGAATGTAGCTAAAATGTGCAAATTCGTCTGTCATCAAAGGGAAAACAATGAAAATTCACAGTTAGAAGCACAGCCACTAGTAAATTCAAAGTTGTAATACATTTTTATGACTGCAGCTGCCTGCTAGTCTTTCCACTTTTTCTTCAGTCTTGAGTGAAATAACTGGTGTTTCACAGGTAAAAGAATAACAGAATCGAGAGCATAAGCTTTCAATTTCTTAAAAGGTTGGTGTGAAAAGGAGAATAATTTGTTTCTATGCCCCTAGTGGGTTAGAAATATATCAGTGACCATGCAGTGTAGCAAGAGAGATTCAGGCTAGTGATAAGGAAAACCTTGCTATGGTGARGATAGTTTAAGCTATGGAATTAACTGGGATGTTGGACAGGGCTAGACAGTCACCTGTGAGGATGGCATAGGCATAGCTGAGCCTGCTTTGAAGCAGCCTGAATATCCCCTTGAGGTCTCTCCCTGCTGTTTCTCAGGATGCATTTACTTGTGATGTGTTGATCTGAGTGACTTTAAATGCTAGGTCGTGTGTACAAACAGTAGCTTGCTAGCTTCTCCCATCTTCCCTTTGTAAAAATCTGCATATCTCCTTGTGTATTACAACAAAAATTGTGTCTTACTCCAGCCTTACTCCAGTCCTTCTGTCTGCTCCAGTGAGTACATCTCATTCTATCTCATTCTAGCTCCCTGTCATTTTCCTACTCTCATCTTCAACCTTCAGTTTTCTCTGACTTTTCATACTCAGACATGATCAAAATCKCYTCATCTTTTTGAAAGGAAGGAATGCATTTGATCTCATTCATCTACTTCCTCATCTCCTTTCTTTTTATCTGTAAACTAACTGAACAAACTGTTGGCAATGTRTGTGGGATTCCTCTTTCCCAAGTCTTTCCTAAGTACTCTGCAACCCAGCTTCCCGTTCTTGCATTTATTTAGTGAGCACAGGTCTTGCCAAGGCTTCAGATGATCCCATCTCATGGGAACTGCACAACCAGGATATTGTTTTTCTCCTGTTTTATCTCCTATCCCCCTATAAAACAGTTTCATGCACCCTTGGGTTTTTTAGTTTTCTGTACTGCATGACWGAAACTTTTCTGCTTGAGTATGGGGACCCTGGATTTGACTTYTAGCCTTCAGGTAAAATTATGTCATAAAAAACCAAAATGATTGGCAAAGAAATGGCATTTAAGAGATTGAGAGCAGCCTTGTTTTCTGAATATTGTAGTATTCGGTATGGTATAACACAGACTATATAAATGGAATGTATTTTATTATGCTCTATAGTAGAAGTAAAATGTTTTCTGTCTCTAGTAGAAACCTCTCCTGATGTGGAAACATGAAACTAAAATCCTGGAGTTGTATTGACTTCCTTTCCTGCATCTCCAAGTGACTTGAAGACTTTTGAAAGCATAAAAAATTAGGTCAAGACCTGCTGGAGGTTTTTTAATATTTCTGTTCTCAAGAGAAAAAAAACACTTGCAAATTTTAGAATTCTAAATAACCTTAGCACTGAATTGCATTAGAAATTTTGGAATTTGTCAGAACAGCCTCTTCTCCCTCTCTCCTTCCCCCATGATTACTCCTCTGTTCTTTCACAGTTTATTATATGGCTGCAGCATTTTGGTGAGRTCCCTCCATTTAGGTCTCTCAGTATTTGTGCAGACTGACTTTGTAGTAGTTTTAGTTAAAACCTATTCTCTATGAGTTGAGCATTTTTCATAAAATCCCAACTGGGTGTTGAATCAGTAATATGGAGCAGTGAAAATTCATCTCATAAATCAGCATGTTGTAAGCATAAAAATTTGAAGAATTTCACTGCAAGTAGTGATAWGCCTGTATAGTGTTAGCTTATTGTTTATATTAATCACCAGTTGGTGAGCAGGAGGATGGTTTCACAAAATTTCGTCCTTTTTACCCAACTAAAGAAAACTTTCCACCATTTGCCTCAGTGGACCACACTTGTTAATAGCAATGACTCCTCCTGCTTTTCGAGGCTACTTGCTTTTTTTATAAAGCATCATGTCTGAAGTGACAGTGATTTTTATCTGGTTATTTTTAAAGCTCTTTACAGGTCACCAGATGTCAAAAATGACAAGAAATAAATGAAAGCTGACATTTATCGAAGCCCATTCCCATTTAATCTGTGTGCGTGCTTATCAGTTTTATAGGATGCAAGAGTTTCACATGCATTGATTTTAATTTGCCTTCACAACAGAGAAATATTTTATCTTTTTAATGAGCATTAACATACTCTACAAGGTGGCAAACTGAAGAATTATTTCTTCTTGCTAGAGGTCAGTGGTTTTCAGAAATTTCTTCATCTTCTAATATCAATTGTTCAGTCCAGTGCTGAGCAAAATATTAGTGCATCTTAATTAAAATTGTGTTTCACCATCACAATGCTATTTCTGGGACTGAAAAGTAATTTTTTACAGATACATGCTATATCAAGATAGTAATAAAATAAAAATTCAAACTTTCARTAACTAAAAAGATGTAAAATATAAAACATTATTTAATCCTTTATATTCATCTAAAATCTGAAGTTATTCCTTTTTTCATTTGAAATTTGTGTACACACGAATGTGGTCAGGATACAGTACTTGGCAAGAGGAATTTATTTGTCTGATACCAACCTGAGAACCTTAGTGGCCCAAGTCCTGGAGTCAAGCAGCAATCTGACAGAAGTTACAGGTGCATGGCACTGGCAATGTATTAAATGATGAGGAATAAAGAAATAACTTTTCCCTCACCAATTCCTTCCTCTGTCTCACTGTTTTATATTCTAAGGTGTTAAGGGGACAATATTTTGCTCCATTGGAGCCTATAATATGCATTTACAGATGCATGGGTAGGCTGGCAACCTTCSCCTGCACTCTAGCTGAATTTTCAAAGCTTACTTTGAAAGTAAAGCCTGTTTTAATCTGTTAGCTCTGTGGCTCTCCTCTGTGGCCACCTTCAGAGTGCCTGTTTTCTCAGAACTTTAATCCCTCTGTGAGATCAGCATCTGCCCCTCTGTTCACCGTCAGTGAAGGCAATGTGTGTGKCCCTTGCACATCAGCTGTGTAACACTGACACCCACCTGGAAATCTGGGCAAAGTGTGCATCAGACTAGATGATTTCATAAATAAACCACATGCAACATTGCTTCTGGTTATTTTCCATTTCTTCAGTTTGCCCATCTTGCAGAATGCAAGGAATTTGAAATTCAGAGAACTTTTGTCACCTTTTTTCCCCTTGCCTTTACCACTCCCCTACCTCCTTTCTCCGTGATGTCCTTATTTAGTGAGCTGTGACTCAGAGACATGAAATTTAATAAATGTCATTCCTTGAGACTTATCCTGTGTTCTGAGAAATTCTAAGGTCTCAATGCTTTCCCAACATTCCCTTAAGTGTAGTCATCCTCCTGAGCGTTGTTGTCGAGATACGACTTGCTTCCGAGAGCCCCTTGGTGAGCCACCGCTGCTGGGCTGGAATATGCTCTCACAGGCAGAGGGCAGCGTAAGGTGGGGGCAGTGCCCCATCCCTGCCAGTCAGGTGTCCCTCTTCCTGTCCCTCTTCCTGTCCCCAATTCACCCKCAGCAGGAGGAGCAGCTGCAGAGCCCCGGAGCCAGCACAATGGGGGCAGCAGGGATGGTGATCTTAACAACTGTGGGGCTCAAGCCCCTTGCCAAACTGCAATTTCCATGTCTTCCAGTTTGAACTACTCATGCTATTGCTTTGAGCTCCAGATCTCCTCAGTTTTAAACCTCAAGGGTTTTTTTTTTTTCATTTGGGACATTTATCCTTGTCATTGATTCATTTGATTAAATGATTGAAGGGTTATAACGCTTTTTAAAGCATGTTGTCATGAAGTAACATTCATTGGCATGCAGTTTAAACATGAAGAATAATTACTGTCTTACATGGATAGGAAGATAACACTGTATATCCTAATAATCCATTTAGCTTGGTTATTTCAGTGAAAGGCCAAAGGAAATGCAGCCTGGTGTTTTTAAACATGTGGCTGATCACTTGTGAGGTGCCACTGTTTATTTTGGTGTTTGTTAATTAACAATGTGGRCATTTGAGGATATAATAAAGAATTGTGAGATAATTTTTTTTGCCATGATTATGGCTGTGTTACACATATTTATTTAAGATTATGTAAAATGAAAAACTATATGCAGGAGATGTTTACATTGTAGCTTTTTTGTCTTCACATTTTCCAAAATTAAGTGAAAAATAGATCATATACATCTTCCTTGGATTTTGTGGTTTGGGTTTGGTTTTTTTGGCAGGGGGAGAGTTTTTTGTTGGCTGGCTGGTTGGTTGGTTGGAGATTCTTTTGAAAGGCAGGGAGGAGATTACTGTTACCATCCCTTGAGAATATTGTTGATGCAGTACTGCGGTATTGAACCACCCAGGTATCCCTTACATTCTGTACATTGTGTAGTCTCAGTGTTCATTCACTCTCTCATTAGGAAACAGCACCAGGTATGACCTCACCCCTGTCACTGCCGTCAGCGTCCACCTCCACAGCAGCGATGGGACCCCCGTCCCTGTGAACGGCCCCATCTATGTAACAGTGCCTCTGCCAGCAAACAGCAACTTGAAACACAATGCACACGTTCCAGCATGGAGGTTTGACCAAAAATTTGGTAGGTAACATCTCATTGTGCCTCCCTGGATGACTTTTGTTTTCTATCCAAAAGAAGAGACAATTGAGTTTTACTGATCGAGTAATGTATGGTATATATGCAAATATACTTGACTAGCATTGTGTGACAATTTGAAACAAAATTTTTTTGTAAATGTACCATTTTTTTAGTTATTAAATATTTTATTTGAAAACTTGAGAGAACTGTATTTCACTCACAGACTAAGAAGAAGAGAGACATACTTACTACAGGATTGAATTGGAAATGTATAGAAATGGAAACTTGCCTTATCTTTGCCAGCAGCCAGCTGTCKGACCTTGGGTCCCTCTCTTGGCTCAAGCTCTGTTTCCTGCCTGCCAGATAGGAAATATAGTACTGACTTCTTTTGTAAATCACTTTGAGATTTTCTAATTCTGTCAGGAAAGTACATGTAAATGATTTAAATAAAATTTTAAAAAGAAAAATTCATGAAACGTTTTAAATGGACAGAATGACTAATTAATAAAATCTGTAAAATGCACTCAGGATTTTATATTGCAGAATAGTGTGTGCCTTTGTGAACAGGAATTTTCCCAGAAATATGTGGTTTTGGCTCTCTTTTTGTATTTATTTTCTTTATTTTGTTGCTAGCTGGTGCACTGTACTGGGCTTCTTTACAGCATCAAAGTTTAAAGGGTGAGGGAGTGCATGTCTGGTCTTGGTGATCCCCTTCATTTATTGTCCTTCTGAAGTATGTGCCAGATGGTTGTTAAGAAAAATGGACAGTGAGAARGGCAGATGCTGAGAGAAAAAGGAGCCAGAAATATGGGTCTGTATAGACAATCAGTGGGGTTTGTCCTGCGAGGCAAATATTTTGAGACAGTTGGTGATCACACCCAGAAGTAGAGCAACAAGCATGAGAGTAGCGTGTTGGAGGAAGGGAGGAAGAGAGAGGTGAAGGGGGAATAATGTTTTTGCTTCCTTCCTGCCTCTGTTTGCTGAAAAAAGTGATGTATTTTCAAATAGCATGCCTATGAATCTTCTGTCAGAAGTTGCTTGTATTAGAGAGTAAAGCAGTATGATTTAGTGAAGGGTAAATTTGAATATGATATAAAGTGGAATCAGAGAAAAAGAGTGCAGATAATGGATTTGGCTTTTCCCTTGACAGTTGAAATGACTCTTCCCTTGTACTGTCCTGGCAATGTTTCACTACATTCTTCCTGAAACTGAATAATTCTTCTAGAAACTCTTGTTTTCCCTTGTTAAAAGAAAAAGATGGGGAAGACTGAGTCACGTTTACTTTCTCCACAAGAAGCAGTGCTTCCCCAAACYCTTCCTGTCAGCTGTGCTAGAGCTGCAGCCTGTTTCGTTGCTGGTTACTCATTGCAAGTAAATGGTTCTGATTTTGATTATGGAGCTTTCTCATTTGTGGCCAAATTTCCATACCCCTGCAGTGAGGCCACAAAAGCTCTTAGTATGGAATATGGTTTTTACTTTTGTATATAGAGAGCTAGTTACCCTATTGTGTGCAGTATATATTMGTATATATTAATGTGGGTTAGTTAATTAGTGTTGCAGGCTTGAGGCTCCCAATCTTGAGACAAGTCCAGCGTTGTTTGATTCAGTTGACAAACTACTGGAGCACTTGTGTTACTGGGAGGAGAAGGCATGAGGATTGCTAAACAAAATGCTTCTTTGTCAGACCACTTAGCTTCACAAAGCCGTGGAGAGGAAGGTATTGAAGATGATATGCTCAGGCTCCAGCTCACACTTAGCTGAAGTAAGCATCTTTCTGTGCAACCAAAGATGTTGAACAAAGATGCATTTTAAGCCCTGACTGCAGCATGCCAGTTCTAGTAGAATTCTGGCCACATCCCAACCACTTTAAATTAGAGTAGCTGAATTTAATAAGTAGAGCAGCCACACTATCTTATGCGAGCTACTTTAGCACCCTAAGGGCTGTCAAACTAGCCATATGTAGCATGAACATAGTGGTATCCTGTCATTCCCCATCCCTCTAGTGACTGGGATGGCTCTGTAGTGGAGAAATCCTTAGCTGGCAGATAAGTTTTTGTAACCCATTTGCACTTCCAGGTCTGGGCCGCGTCAGGACAGGACCTCTAACCTTTTTATTCTGATTTTGTCTTTCATTTCAGGGCTGCTTTTTTCAGTGCTGGTTATGTTTYGGTCTCTCCTTAATAGATTTTCAGTGTCTTAAATTTTCATGCTTTTATCTGAACMGTGAGTAAATGCCACAAATAGAAGACTATGACTGTCTTACCAGGCACTAACACAGCACTTCTCCCTTGTGGATTAGCAGTACACTGGACGCTTGTTCGTGCAAGCCATTGTTCTTGTTTAGGATCCATGTGGTTGTCATCATTACTGTRTGAAATTTCTGCTCTAAAAAGCAGAAATATTTTTCACTTTTAGAGGGCGTGGAGAAGTGACAGAAATACTACAGATATATTTTAATCCTTACTATCTCATGCGTTTTGCTGAGCTCATGATGAACTAATATGAACCYAGAAGCATCTGATTGGAAGTGCAGAGATTTTCGTATTTTCCACAAAAATGGGGCGCATTTGCATCTTATGGCAGCCAAAAATAACTAATGGCTTTTTAGGATGTTTACCATAAACAATCTGTATTTTCATGACCATGCTTTCTATCCTTGGGAGAGAAGGAGGAGAAGCAGCATAATCTGCTTGAGGCTGAGAGTGGCTCCACTGATACTGATGAAACAAGCAGCCAGAAAAAACAGGCTGACATCAAAATAAGACAATCTGCTGCATCTATTTCATACTGTTCCAAATGAGATTTTCCATTATGAAACAAACCTACTGCCTTGTGTGCACAGCAAGCAAATTAAAGCAATAATACCATTTTGAATAGTTAATAAAATGAAGATCAGCTGTTGATGCCCTGGAGATGTTTTCAGGGTAAACAAATACATGTAACCTTATTCTTGTGTTGGTCCACCACTGTTTCCTGCAGCATTTCTTAGTGTTGGTAATAATAAACCCAGATGCATTTATGTTATGGGGACATTACATGCTAAAATGCAGCTTAATCACTCTAYGCTGCGGACATACCCATGTCTTGTGTTTCACACTACTGTGGGACAGTGATTTTATTTCACARTATGCATTTGCAGGTTTAAACATAGAGACAGGGATTCTCATTTCTATAATCAGGAGTGTTTGGTGGGGTTTCGTGGGATTTGGAGKTTTTTTCCTAACAAGTGCTGTGATGTATTTCTCAAAATCTGAGGGGACTGAAAAACGTTTTTTTCTTAACTTATAAACAGATGCTTGAGATCATGACTTCTTCAATGTATATTTGCCTTGATGTCAGTAGGATTTACTGCAGTATAATTAATCTCTCTATTCTTGGACACCAAATTTCTGTTCAAAACTTCCTTCTAGCCTTATCCTCTACAGTCAGAAATACCACAGATCCCTTGATCTCTTGTGTCATCTCCAGCTTCCACCAGCTGGACTGAATAACACAGCACTTGCTCAGCTRTATTCTCCTTAGCTCCCATTTAAATGGTTTGTGTTTTATGTTAAGGTGTCTGGTTTTCGTTGGATTCAGTGAGCAAAACTGTAAGTCCAGTATTTTCTGTTTTAAGTCCTCAGTTTCATTCCATGTGGTAAGAAGGCATTATGTTGCACCTACACCTCTAGATCCACATCTGAAGCTGCACAAAGGACTTTAAAATATTAACAAATATTCCAGTGTGCGTAATACGAAAATTAGATTTATTAATATTTTGCATCTGCTAGTTAATTAATCCCATCAAATAACAGGAAAATATTTTCAACCCTGTTTTCAGTTGTGTGGCAAAGGACTCTGGAGTGGAAGGGTTAAACCTTTGCTGTTCCTCCTCCTTAAAATGTATTATTTCTTGTGCACTATGGGTAAATGAAGTTCAGAATACTGAGTCTCTGTTCTTCCTTCTCCCCAAACACTTGGTGTGCATCTTCGACTTGACCTTGTTGTCTTTAAATGACTGGCTCCTTTGCAGAGGAGGATGTTTCCCCAGTCCCTGAAATTTCAACCATGTGTTCATGTAAAGTGATGGCAGAATATGGAGAAAAGTATCTTGGGGAACTCTTTATAGCTTTATAAAACACAATACTTTAAGCACCCTGCTGTTCCTGGTTGGTGCTTTCTGTCTGYATTTTAAGCCATAATAGATTTCTAAATGCATTTAGAAGTCTGGTACTTGTTTTTTTCTGGGAGACGTTCTGTCAGTGGTGACATTTGTATTGATTTTTGTAGAATCAGAATTTCCAGATGTTCCTTCCTCAGCAAAATCAAGATAATGTTTTCTGTGCTCAAGTTATGAGGATATACTTGTGTGTAAGCAGTATTGGTGCCTGCTTAAACTTGACTGCAGTATTTTTGCTGCATTTCATAGAGGTGAAATGATGCTTGTTTTTTGTTCATAGTGTTTATAAGGAGAGAGCGACAGCTACTGTCAGGCAGAAAATGTAAGCAGATTATTGTACATATACTTGTCTAGTTCACTGTGCATTGTTTGAGAATAAGATTTAAAAAAATCTTGGATCTAAGCTTCCCATGTGGTAGCARTGATAATCCACCCAAAGAAAAGCTTGTTTTATAGTTTAAAAATAAAACATGTTTCTTTTTGTTGTGAATTTGATTAATTTCTGATTGCCACTACGTTTTTTGTGTGACACATTTTGTCACATTTCTGTGTGACAGAAAATAATTATTGAACAGAAATGTTTGCAGTCTCTCACTTGACTTGACCCTGGGTTGTGAGTTTGTGACCTTGGAGAGATGGTCTGCATTTGGTCTGTATGCAGCTGCAGGGCCTGGAACTTCTTGCACTTCTCCTTGACTTTTAGTGGGTTTTCCATAAGAAATTGGATGTGCTCAAGAAATCACATTCCTTGCCCCCAGATTTTGAGTTCAGTATAATCATATCCAGAACACATGGTTCTAGACCAGATTCAATGGTAATATGGTAGTTTGTTTGCAAAGGTGAA